GAGGCTTGCGGAGGGTCCCTCTCCCACCTACGCTGGGTGTGCAGTTGGTGCTTATTGGAGAAGACCTCCCCTTGGCCAGCAGCAGATCCTGCTTCCCACCTTTGGGATTTGCACTTTTGGGTGTTCCCATGTTTTTATTGCATTTCTTTACTCATGGACACGGGGCTTAACTCTGCCAGCGAGTATTTTACCTGGCATTGCTTTTCTCTGTTAACCCCAATCAGCGTGGCCAGGTGCCTGTGCCCTGGCTTTGATTTATGACTTGATGTCCAGGCAGGGGTGGGTCTGTACTATAATCCCGTCAGGATTAGTTTGTGTGTGATGGATGGAGCCGGGAGTGTTGGGGAGGATGGGGCTCTGCTGCCAGCCCTGCCATGCCACCATCAGCCTGTCCCAGGGTGGGGGCTCGGGGAGGGGGCTCCCCTGGGTCTGCAGGACCGGGAAGGGAATGCCTGCGGTTGAGTGTCTGGGCTAAGCTGTACCACACAGTCTGCAGAAGTTATTTTTAACCTTTTCTGTGCTGCTACATGCTGGCTGCTGTTGGAAAGCTGAATGCTGTGCGTTCTGACACTGCAGGGAAAAAGATCTTTGGGTTTTTTTTTTTGTTTTAATAGGTTTTAATAAGATTTTTTATAGCTGCTACACTATCACCAGCCCTACACCCTCTCCAAAGCTGCTGCTGGTGGAGAAGAGATCCAGGGGCAGGCAGAGCACTGGTTCAAGCCCCTGGAGATCCTCTCTGTTCCCCAGCTTGCTCAAGACAACATTTCTACACCTTGAGAAGTAGCCAGCCTCTCTGGAGAGGAGGGTGGCTAGGTCTGCATGTCCTTCCGTCCCTCCTCCAAACCCATATTTGTAGCTCCAGCTAATGCAAAGTTAAATCCATGTTCTGCAAGTACCTGCTGAAGATAGCTCTGCTGTTCCCCCTGCCCCCAACAGGTGACTTGGAGGATGGGTGCCCTGTGCTGTCCCCTGGGGAGCAGAAGCCCAACCCTCAGCAGAGCCTATTGAGTGTCAAAGGTGTGTACCCTGGGTTGTAACCACTGTGGAGCCCCGACCTGGGCCACTGCTGCCTGTTGGATTTGTTTGGGGGAAAAAGCATGTAGGAGGTTCTTCTGGCTTGCGCAGTTGGATTTTACCAGGCAGTGTTGCCTTTCCCTCGTGGGAGTTAAAAACCTCTGAGCAAAGCGGGTGCTGGTCGCTCAATGAGATGCTGTTGCCTGCCTCATTCACCAGTTTCCTCCCCCCTCTCCCTGTTCATTTTGGATGCTTTGAGTAAACAGATGGGGCTGGGTTTTTCCTAGTCTATATTAATCCTAGTCTATAATTAAAGAGCTTTCAGAGGAGTTTGCAGACCATTGTCTCAGCTGTGGCTGCAGAAGTGATTTCTAAACAAATCTTGCCCTGTCCACCCTTATTTCCCTCCACCCTGCTCTCAGCCGTCCCCTTTTATTCTCATGTAGCCTGAGTTTGAAGACTTGCTGGTTGACTGTCCTACTTCTCAATTTAGAAACATCTCAGGACTGTCCCCCAGGACCATCAGCTCCAAAACACGACTCTCACCCCAAGTCCAGCCTTGGGGGCATGTGCCCTCATCCTTCTGTGCATGTGAGAGCATTGCTACATCCACAATGGACTGAGACACCGCCAAGATGCTGCTTTTGGGAGAGGAAATATCTTTTCGTAATCACTCATTTTGATGCATGTTCTTGTTGCCTTTCGAGACTGCGGAGTGCATGTAGGGGGGATTTTTGCCAGCTGTTTTTCCACACATTTGCATCTGTCCAGACCTTTAGCATAACATTTCCCATATAGTTACATAAATATAGGATGGGGGAGTGTCCCTGCAAATTCCAAGCACTGTTAGGCTTTTGAATATGTTGGTGAAAGTTGCCAGTTCACAGTTGTAATGATGGATGTAAAGAAATAACTTGGCACTGGGCTGCCAGGCATGTGTTTAAAAAATATATTCATGACTTGCACTTTGATTCACGGGAGAAATTGCCTACCCATCCCTGGTTTCTTTCTTGCTTTGTGCAGTGCTCACCAAGCAGGGATGACCTTTGGGCTGTCAGAGTGTTTTTGTTTTTTAATAGGGTTCTGTGCAAGCATCACTGAAGTTGATGAAAATTTTGTCACTTGAGCTTTTCTGCTATGATGATGGTGCTGTGCACCTCATGCTATGTCTGTGTATCTGTAGAGGGTTTGAGTCTTCCAGCTAGGCAGGAAAAAAAAAAACCAAACCAAAAAACCCCACCTACGAGATCCTACCTAATATCTGCAGGGTCTCCTTAAAGGGGAGACGGTAAGTGTTTGAGGGTCTTTGCATGCCAGCTGGAAAACATGCAGTCCCAAACAGTGCCTCACATTAATGAGAAACAATTCCCTGCCTGCTGTGGTGATGCTTTGCAGAAGGGTGAGCAGGGTAGGTGCTAGCTAACCTCAACATCTTTCCTCCCTTCCTTGCTTCCCACTGACTGCTTATTGCTTTTTCCTGCTGCTGACGGCAGCTCCGAGTCCTCTGTCTTACCTGGCCTGGCTCTGATAAGCAGTCTTGACTCAAAGCCTAGTTTCTCTGTATTTAACGCCTGCCAAGCCCTCTCCCCTTGGAGTGCTCCCAGTGGGACCCAAAACAACGCTCTTCTCAAAGCGAAAAATATCTGCATACAAGTTCTCCCTCCCCTTTTCTGGCTGGAACTTGGTGCACCCCTTCCAGCTAACTGCATTCCCGGCATACCGGCCCGGGGATGGCTTGGGAAGCATTTCAAGCAGGCTGGAGTATCTCCTGCTCAGGCTCTCCCCTGCAAATTTCCTCTTACTGCATTCCAGAAAAGGGCACCAAATCCTTCAGGGCTTGCTGCTCCTCCTTGCCGTGCTTGTGGAGAGAGACCTGCTGGTTCAATAACAGCCGGCTGCAGACAAAGCAGTCAGTGCTTGACTTCGTATTTCCCTCAGCTCTCTACTTGCACCTAAGGAATTTGAGTTTCGGGGTTATTTTCTGCTTGATCTGATTTTTGAGCAGAAGGAGAAAAAAAAAATTTGCGTCGGGGGGAGAAAGGAAAACCAGTGTTAGGAGTGGATGAAAAGCCCTTTGGGTGCTGGACTAAAGCAAGACATTTGGATATAACAGTTTAATTATTTTTAGGAGCCATCGATGCTTTTCAGCCAGGCCGAAATTTTGTAGAAAGCAGCATGTGGGGATGTCTGTACTGATGCTGGGTGGCAGGATTTACTGGGATGATGCCAGGTACGTCTGGCCGCATACCTGCTCTCTGGTGCAAACCTGGAGGAGGAAAGCACGGCTCAGGCTCTGTGCTCCAGCCTTGCCTTCATCTAGCAAAGAGGCACCAGGCTTGCCTGCTCGCCCACATGCTCCTGGCCTTTCTGGCCACCCTCCAAGCTCTAGAGGACACAGGTGACACCAGAGAAGGTCTTACAAGTGCTTACATCAGCCACGATATTGGTGGTCGAAGTGCCAGTGTGTTCTGCGGGAAGTGGGTTAATTTTCTTCTTGGCTCTGGCATGCTGATGCAGCTGCTTTTCCACAGGATTTCTGGAAGTGTTTTTGCACTCTTTTTTTTTTTAAAAAAAAAGGAGGAAAAAACCACTTTATTTTTATTTTTCCTTAAGTGAAGCAGAGCAGTTGGTATGAGAAGGGATATTTCTGTGCCTGGTTGCTGCACGGTCAGCTGGGTGAGGGGCAAGATGCAGGAAGCAAGTGGGAAGAGCCAGTCGCCAGCCTGGGAAATCCGGGTGCTGCAGTGTGAGAGAGTGATGACCCTTTTGAAAGCAAAAAGCGTGGTCCCTTGGACATTCCATGCTTGCTAACCACTGCCCTGGGCTCCCACAGCATCTGAGCACCTGATGGTTTTATAAGTATGTGTTACAGCAAGGTGCAAATGCCCTAAAAGCTCTTACGAAATGGGGAGAAGGACCAGTTTATGAGCCTGGGAGCAATGTATCCCTGAATAACTCCTAAAGGCAAGAGGCCTGCTGTGTTCAGGATTGTGGCCAGCGGTAGCACTGCGTAAGACCAGGCTGTCCTTCCCATCCAGAGCCCTTGATGATTTGTAGGCGGTGCCATCCTTACTAGGAACACGTGTATTACCTTTCATGGTGCTTTGAGAAGAACATGAGGATGTTCTACATCTGCACCTTAGGGTTGGCATGTGCCTGGGGAGAGAGCATCATCAGTGGTGCATGGATGGGGTCTGGAGCCTTTGCTGACATGCTGGGGTTTGTTTCTCTCCCCCAGGCTGGTTCCCCAAGGTGACGCTGGGGTCCTCGTAGCCGACTTCACTCACGGAGTGGCCATGGCCACCTAGTGCTCCCTGGGACCGGTGGGGTCGGCAGGCCGGAGATGGCAGCGCAGAGGATCCGGGCGGCCAACTCGAGCGGCCTGCCGCGGTGCAAGTCGGAGGGCACGCTCATCGACCTCAGCGACGGCTTTGCCGAGACCAGCCTCTGCGATGTCAAAGGTGCGGAGGGGTGCGGGACGGGGTGGGGATCCCCCCGGGATGGGTAGGGATGCATCCTCTCACTTGTGGGGTCTGGGAGGGGATTGGTTTATAATTAGCAGATGGCAGCTGGTGGCGAAGAGCAGCAAGTGCTAACGAGTGCATCTACAGGTGGTAAGGACCTGATGGAAAGGGATCCAGCAGCCACGAGAGGTGACAGTAACAAGGCAGTTTGCAAAGGTTTCGTTTTCACCTACCTAGAGCTGGGAGCTTGCAGGTTGCTTTGGATAATCCTTTTTCTTACTTTTATTGCTTCTTCTTCAGCTGTATTTACCTTACCCAACATGAAAGCTGTGTTCAGGTGAGAAGGGAATTACTGTTCCCCTGGCAGAAACAGATCCCAGGAAATAACTGCAGGTGGAAGTTAGTGTGTGCCGAGGGCCTTTAAAAATAAACACGCACAGAAGTGATTGCTTTTGCAGGCGTAGCAAGAAAGAGACCCGAACATCAAACGCTCTCGCTGCAGATTAGATTGTTTTAAATGCGAAAATAGGAATTACTCATATTCTCCAAGGGGTTTGCTGGTTTCAGCACATCCCTGTTAACTCTGCTGCTGTGCTGGCTGCGTGCACAGCTAGGGGGCACACAGGGATGGCTGCTTGCCCGTCTGATCTGAAGGGATGGGGGGACCAAAAATGCCCTGTCCTGCAGGCAGGAGTTAACAGTGGCTTCCTACCAGGATGACAAAACAGTTTCAGTACAGAGTTTATATATAGTTTTACGCTGAATAAATGTCCTCACAACTTTGCCTACCTGCTGGTGGAGGAAGTAGGTTAAGGATGAATTGTTTAGGATGTGTACAAACGCTTTGCTTAATATTTGATCCTTAGCGTGTATTTGAAGACTTCTTTGCTCATCTGTACTTTCCGTTGCCTTGAATTTTCCGTGTCGAAGAAGTGCTGCCAGCTAGCCTGCAGCTAGTGGCCACAGGGATGCGCAGTCTGGTCTCCCATCCCTTTGTCTCCGAGATTTTAGAGGCTCCCTGTGTTTCTTAAATCCCCCTTTTCCCTCCAGAGAGCTCTCGAGCCCATTGAAGCAGGTGGTGTGCCAGTTCTCCTGCAGCTCCCAATTAGTGAAAATTCGGCTCTCCTTGTTTTCTTAGGTCTGTCTAGTAAGATAACACACATTGAATGTTGATGTAACATCATTTGCAGCTTGCTTCTAGTGCTTTTTACAGAAATAGATCCTAAAAGTGAGAGCAAAACCAATAAATACAGTGCCAGTCTGAGTATCTGTAGGCTTGACCTAGCTGTTTTGCTTGTAATTAGGATCCCCATGCAAAACATCTTTCAGCTGGCACTGCTGAAAGGGACGTTGGAGATACTTCTAGGACCATGACAGCACCACACAAGGGTGATGCTCTGCTGATTTCTGAGGCTTCAAACGACATCACCTGCTTTAGAAATTGAGTTCATTTTCTTTGAGAAACTTTGAAATAGAGGTGCTATGTGAAAAGAGTGAGTTGCTGGTTTTTTTGGCTGGTGTGCACTTTTAGCCTGTGCTGAAGGTTATCTTGGATTTACATTACCTGGAGTTATCACATAACTTTTTTTCACCAGCAGTAGCACAGATAACTGTTTGAATGGAGAGTGCAGTGGCAGTGCTATAGAGCGGGTGGCCAAAGGCCTCCAGATAGCAAATTGTTAGGGTAATGGCTCTTCCCATGAGAACCTTCCCTAATTAACTTTATTTTAAACAAGAACATTTAAGGGTGTGGCTGCCATTCTAGCACGTGCCCATAGGAGCTTGGATCCCAACACACCAAGTGAAAAGGAGAGCTGATAAGAAGTGACTTCCCACACCCTCAAAACTCCATCCAGCACATCTTGTGCGTCGCTCATCAGGGATTTAGCAAGGCTGTGGGACACTGGTGTATCTCATACAGGAGCAGCTGCATGGGGCCCTGCGTCGAGAGGGAGGTTTGTTGCTAAGGCCCTTGACTACATCAGGAGGATAACAAGCTGCTTCTCCTGTCTCACCTCCTGTTGCTCTTCCCAGCCACGTCAGTGCCGATCCCTTTAGATCATGAGCCCTTTGGGAATGTACCGGAAGTAGTAGAGGGACAAGTTTTGTTTAAAAATGTTAACGGGGAAAAAAAAATACCTGCAAGTTTGAGAAGTTGTAAAACTATGTTACTTCACCCCATAAAGTAGTGCAAATTGCTGACCTGAAATAAATGATTGAAAGTCAGCAGTGACTCTTGTGGATTGCTTACAGTGCTGTTTCCTTCTTGGCTTTGCAGTGCCTTCTCCTAGTGCCTTGCTGGTTGACAATCCCACGTCCTTTGGAAATGCGAAGGAAGTAATAGCAATCAAAGATTACTGTCCGACTAATTTCACCACTTTGAAGTTCTCCAAAGGGGACCACCTTTATGTCTTAGACACATCAGGAGGCGAGTGGTGGTATGCTCACAACACCACAGAAATGGGTTACATCCCTTCCTCCTACGTCCAGCCTGTAAACTACCGCAACTCTTCCTTAACGGACAGTGGGATGATAGATAATCTACTGGAGAGCCCTGACGAGGGAGTCAGGGAGTTAGACCTGCTTGGAGAATGGACTGATGTGAAAAGAGACTCTGCAAAACCCTATAATAACAACCCGTTCTTGAACGGAGTGCAGACGAACCCGTTTCTGAATGGGAATTTGCAAACAGTGCCCAGCTTGGACAAAGAGTCCAACTCCAACGTTGCCGTGGACTTGCTGCTCTTGGACACGGGAGCTCCTACTTCAGCTGTTTCCAGTTTGGCTGCTAATAGCAGTTTGGGTAACATTTTTGATGAGTTTCCATCCTCAAACAGACTGGATCTGGAACAGCCTGTGAAAAGGGACAATCCCTTCTTCAGAAGTAAACGCTCCTACAGTTTGTCTGAACTGTCTGTTCTTCAGGCCAAGTCAGATGCTCCGACATCATCGGGTTTCTTCAGCGGTTTGAAGTCTCCCACCCCTGAGCAGTTCCAGAGCCGGGAAGATTTTAGGACGGCGTGGTTGAACCACAGGAAGCTGGCTCGGTCTTGCCATGACTTGGATTTGCTTGGTCAAAATCCCGGCTGGGGTCAGACTCAACCGGTGGAGACCAACATTGTCTGCAAGCTGGATAGTTCTGGTGGAGCTGTTCAGCTTCCAGATACCAACATCAGCATCCATGTGCCAGAGGGTCACGTGTGCCCTGGGGAAACGCAGCAGATCTCCATGAAAGCAATGTTGGATCCGCCGCTGGAGCTGAACAGTGACAAGTGCAGCACCATCAGCCCGGTGCTGCAGATCAAACTCAGCAACATGGAGGTGAAAACCTTCATCATTCTGGAGATGAAGGTATCAGCTGAGGTCAAGAATGACATCATGAGCAAGAGTTTGGTAGGACTGCAGTGCCTGCGGAGTGACATGAAAGAGGGGCCGTACACCCCAATGCAGTTAAGCTATTCATATGGGGACACAATTCAGGTGCAGCTGGAGAACCTGGAGCCTTGCATGTACATTGCAGCCGTAGCCCAGGGGCAGAACATCCTCTACCCTTATACCGTTTGGGATTACATCAGCAAGAAGATCACAGTTGGTGTTTACGGCCCAAAACACATTCACCCTTCCTTTAAAACTGTCGTGGCCATGTTCGGCCACGAGTGCGCACCCAAGACTCTCCTGGTGAATGAGGTCACAAGACAGTCTCACAGTCCGGCTCCTGTCGCCCTCCAGCTCTGGGGAAAGCATCAGTTTGCTCTGTCCCGGCCTCAGGACCTCAAGCTCTGCATGTTCTCCAACATGACCAACTACGAGGTGAAGGCTAGCGAGCAAGCCAAAATTGTGCGGGGCTTCCAGATGAAGCTGGGCAAGGTCAGCCGCCTTATCTTCCCCATCACGTCCCATGACCCCAATGAACTCTCAGACTTCACGCTAAGAATACAGGTCAAGGATGACAAGGATGCCATTTTGACCCAATTCTGTGTCCAGACGCCGCAGCCACCTCCAAAAAGTGCCATCAAACCAACGGGGCAGAGGCGGTTCCTCAAGAAGAATGAGGTTGGAAAGATCATCCTTTCACCTCTGGCTGCCACCGCCAAGTATCCAGTTTTTCAGGACCGGCCAGTGTTGAGCTTGAAGTATGGCAAGCTGCTGAAGACTGTGGTGAGGCAAAGCAAGAACCACTATTTGCTGGAGTACAAAAAAGGAGACGTCATAGCCCTCCTCAGTGAGGAGAAGATCAGGTTAAAAGGACAGCTATGGACCAAGGAGTGGTATATTGGCTACTACCAGGGAAAAATAGGCCTTGTGCACACCAAAAACGTGCTGGTGGTTGGGAAGGTCAAGCCCAGCTACTTCTCTGGGCCAGATCTCACCACCAGCCTGTTGCTTGAACAGATCCTGAGGCCTTGCAAATTTCTGACCTACATCTACGCCTCTGTGAGGACTCTGCTCATGGAGAACCTCAGCAGCTGGCGGTCCTTCGCTGATGCACTGGGATACTTGAACTTGCCACTCACATTTTTTTGCCGAGCGGAGTTGGACAGTGAGCCGGAGCGAGTGGCCTCTGTCTTGGAGAAGCTGAAGGAAGACTGCAACAACACTGAAAACAAGGAGAGGAAATCTTTCCAGAAGGAACTGATGACGGTAAGTCTCAGGTCTGACAAAGGAGGTCTTAATTCCCTGTCGTGCAGTGATTAAAGTGAACGGGAGGTGGAAATTTCCTAATTCAGTCTGTAGGAGATTGAGTCCATCTTTAAGGTCTTCCACAGCCTGCTCAGCGTGGCCAGGTGAAAATTCAGGTCTGTGGCTGCACGTGTTGTTTAATGGGATCACGACTGAACGCGGAGCACACTGGGTGATATACCACAGGTACGTGTAGTGTGAGATCAGGCTTGCTTTGGAAGGTAGCTCGTCTGAAGCCCTTCAAGATCAAGGTGATTTTGGGCCAATGTTTTCATAGCCCTTGACTGGCCGCTGCTGCTGAGTACATTTCAGCTTTCGATGATGCATGCTTGGAGGAGTTACCCAAGAGCTGCTGGTCTCCTCAACCCCAGTGTCAAAGCATGCATCATTGAAGGCAATGCTGATGGAAAACTGGAAAAAGGGTGAGAAACACAAAAGCTTTTCCTGTAGGGAGTGGGGTAGGTGAGCCACCTCTCAGGTCACGTGCCTTTGCCTTCACGAAACAACCTCAAATTCCTTTGTAATGTCAGTTTAGCTGCCCCATCTCTCTTTGAGTGGCAGCTAAACCAAGGGCACCGCTGAGCTGGGATGCTTCATGTCCAACTGTGGATCATGTTTGCAAATAGAAATGTGTGGCTTTCTGTCATGAAAGACACTTGGGGAAATGCTGCCTGCAAGTGTTTTTAGGGTGTTGTTAGGAAGTCTCTTACAAGAAAACATCGTCATGATCATTTCTAGCATTTTGTAGGAAACAAGCCAAATTAAATACAGGACGAAATGTCTGGAAGACATTTGCAGCTCGTACTTCTTGACAGGCTCTCCCACAGAAGCAGGTTAACTGAGTTATGTTGAATCATGTGGTTTAAAATGCCAATTAAATTAAGAAATAGCAGTAGCTTCTCCTGGTGATGCTGGGCACTGGCAGCAGAACGCAAACTGAAATTAGGAATAAGCAACCTGAGTAAAGACGTTTGGAGCGAAAGTATTTCATCTCCCAAACTCCCTTTAATAAGAAGGGGGAAATTTGAGGATCAAGTATGAGGTGTAAGGTGTTAGAAGGAGTACAGAGCCCTTTGTTACTTGTGAAAATGCAGTCCACTGCATTCATGGGTACTCAGTACCACTCCGTGGCCCATGGGACAATGTTTAAGTTTGATTTTTCAGGTGTCAGGTCATGCCACCAACGCTGCTTCTGTTGAGGTGTTCTGACCATTGTATGTGGCTGATTCTCTTCTTTCTGAGGCCATCTGAGAAGGGAGAATACCCACCGTGGTAGCCGAGGCTGGTGTCTGGCCTGTGATTCCCCCAAGGGAGGATTTGCTCCTTTAATCATTAGCCTTGTTGAACAGTGGGATGAAATCTGTGCTTCTCTTGCTAGGTGATTCCAAGGGCTTTGTGCTGTTTGCCTTACCACTTGGTAAACCTGTAGGTGTTTCTTTTTTTCTATCACCATTATCTCCAGGGATCCTAGACAGTCTGTAGGTCATGGAAAATCTATGCCAGACCTCAATGGGGAGACAGAGGGAAAGATAAGTCTCTTTTGGATACTTGGGGAGCAGCTAAATCAAGGGGAGGACTGTAAGCTGTAGGAAAACATGCTGCTCCCCAAGGGATGCCTGGAGTTCAGAGTCCCAAAGCAGGTTTTATTTTCCATGTTCAAATGGAAGCTAATCCTGAGTGCTGGCTCTCTTTCCTGTTCTTTGTGAATCCGAGCCTGTCGATAAAGGATGAGCTCCCTTCCCATGAAAGATGACGCTTCTTCTAAACCCCTTGCTGCTGTCAAATCCTCCTTAGCTTATAGAGTAATTAGAGTGAGTCTGTGGTTTTGGTGCATTTTTTTTTTAAGATGTTTTAAAAAGATGTTTCAGGGGATGACAGTGGAGTGGTAATGTGTTTTGTTGTATTTAAATCTGATTTTGTTTGTAACAAATGGACTCAATTTCTGGCATCTGCTGGCAAGACGAACCAGTTGGAATAAGCTCTTATCTGACTGTTTCATCTTAAAGTTGGTTGTCTCCTCTCAAGGGGTATGTGAAGGGAGAAGGAGTAAGCAGGCTTATCAGACTTCAGAGCTGAGTACATAAAATTGCGGTAGCAGAGCCATGCACCAGCAGCCAAGTGTGGAAGAGCCTGGTTGTGATGATTAGCTAATAGGTAATCTGCACTTAATTATTAATTTTTTAATCTAGCACTAACAGTGGTATGTGAAGGTAACTGGGGAAATGTTGCTCAGAAGTTAGTCATCACATCAGAAAGAGAAACCTACCTGTTCTGTTCCTCCTCTCTGCCTATCGAAAGAGGGCAGCACACAGGAGCTCTTCTTAAAAACACTGGGCACAGATACAGGAAGACCTCGTTGCAGCTGGGCCAGCACTATCTGGTGACTGCACTTACCTGGTCTATGGGAGCTGGGGTTAGACTTGTCATGAGACACAGCATTTCTCTCTTCTCTGGGTTTTCGATACGGTGTTTTTATAGAGCCTCACATTTATCATCCTTTCCAACAGATGCTGTTGTTGGGAAAAACGTGAGTCTTCGAGGGGTGCCACTGGGCAAGTCAGCAGAGAGCTGCAGAAACTATGAGCCTTTTCTTCTCTAGGCTACTTCTAAAGATCGTGTAGAACATGTCAGGATTTCTTTTTTTTTCCCCATTTTCTGCTGTTGATTGTTCTGACTGCAGGTATCTGCGTGCTGCCTTCTTCTACCATAAGATGCTGCTTATCCCTGGTGAGTGCAGGCCCCAAAGAACCTGCAGAGCAGGGTGTCACCTGCTTGGATCTTGTGCTGGCACGTGGGAGCATTGCCAGCCAAGGTTGCTCATGTTGGTCCTTCACCCTGAAGCAATCTGCCATCTCGTGGTAGTCCCCATACTTAGTTTGGGTTCAGAGGGAGAGCATGACTCCTGCCCTCCTGTCTTCATGGGAACAACAAATCCCAACCACGCTTACAGATCCTGGCTGTTGCTCCCCTCAGGAACCACACTGTGCCGTACTTAAAGTTGATGGGGATGTTTACTGTAGGGTGTGGGTTGTCCTCGCGTAGCCAAGTTGCTTGCAGGACAGAAGGAGAAGGAGGTGCTTGCAGGCTTCCAGCAAGGTCTTTTCATGCCCAGCACTTGTAAGTCTTGCTCTGTGCTCCCCTATCAATTAATAGAAAGCTGCCTTTCAGCCATCCTGTTGTCAGGTTTCTTGCTCCATGGACAGTGTAAGTCATCTCACTCTTATTTTTTGAGGCTGGCAGGAAATCCTCTTCCCAGTGCAGCAGTTGCAGACCCTGAGTTCTTTTTCCCCATGCAATTTTGCTCTTGGTGGGGTAAGCTGCTGGTGGTGGTTGCATTGTTACCTTCCCCAAACCACCTTAGAGGGTTTCTGGTGGCACATGGTGGCATTTCAGAAGTGATGCCTTAAGCACCCTGTGACCCACCACGTTCAGGGAAATTGCCCCACGGAGCCTATGCCTGGCTGTGTTAGGTAAAAAATAAATAAGTTAGTATTTAAGGTAGTGAGTGTGTAGCACAGTATTACAGCTGCTTGTGACTGGTGATTTTAGGGGTGCTGACAGACAGAAGAAGCGAGGAAAAGAGATGCTTAATGCCTAAAGGAATTGTTATTTTAGGGATACAAGCCAACTTTTTCAGGCCAAAAACCTGACCTGTATTCCGGAGAGGATGATGGAGACAGGAGCCTGTGCACGAGCAGCCTCTCAGCCCCTGAGTCTCACTGGTGCCTCTGGGACACACGGGGCCTTTCTCCCCATGTTTGAGGAGGTCCCAGGCGGGAGCTGTGGCATGGTGGCCCCCCGGGCACATTGCCTGCCTGCCGCATCCCTGCCCTGGCACACGTCCCACAGAGGTTAATGGGACACTGAATATTGCTGCTTGTGGTAACCACATCTCTGCTTCCCCCACTAACGTTTTTGGAGGGTGACTAATGGCATGATAACCTTTGGAGCCCCTTGGGTGCTTTCCGGTTTAAATGCTTTTTAATGATTAAAAAAAAACCCTATTTCATTTAAAAAGTCGATTTCCATAGCAGCTTCCTTGTGGGTCTTACACCGTGCTGGTTGGGCACATGTGAACTTAGCAATGCTTTCTGCTCCTGGGGCAAAAGAGAAAGGTTTTTACTCCTTTAGTGTGGCCCAAAATGCAGATGCAACAAGAACTTCACTGAGTTCAGATGGCTCCTCTGGAGCATGTGGGAGTCAGGACTGGACTTGTGGGAGGTTCCATGTTTGTGCGTGGGACAGCGAGCAGGGCTAGAGGCTTGCAGAGTCAGGAGTGGACCACGAAGGTTGTGGTATGGGCACAGGCAGAGGTGGCTGTGCCTCTGCAGGTGGTCTCTGGTGTCACCTGTTTCTTCTACCTTGGCTTGCTTTCTTTCAGATGCAAGTTTCTGTCATTAGAGGATGGGAAATGGGATTCTGCATTTCAGAGCCAGGATGCAAATTAAGCCTCCCTGGATGCCTTTTAAGTATAGAGGTGGTTCTGTGATGCTTTGAACTGGGATTTGAATATCAAACCATCTCCTTTACTGTGTGCTAGTCTGATGGTGGCTTGGAACCGCTCCGAGGTTAATAAATGCTTTGGAGGGTGCTGGCAAGGCACAGCCCGGGTCACACCTCAGCAGGGAGCACGGCTTGGTGCCGAGGGATGGAGACAGCGTGGGTGTACCCAGCTATTTGGGGAGGCTTGTCTGGGGCGAGGGAGGAGGATTGAAAGAAATTGTGGCATAATTCCAAAAGCACTTGCTGGAGGATTAAGTCTGTGGTGAGCCCTGCTAATCCTGGCCAGGCAGTTGAATCTTTCAGGAGAGCCCTGTGTCCACTTGTGTTTCAAATATTTCTGTGACAGAGGGAGCCAGTTGTGCTCAGGCCAAAAAAAAACTGTGTCACTGTTGCCACTAACATTCCCCCTTTGACTCCAACCTTAGTGGCAGTGTGTCCTTCTTGCACTCCATCCCCCCCTGGCTTTGGTGCTGTCCCCATCTCCCGTCAACTCTGCCCACTCTCTTGCTTTTTCCCTAGCCTGCAATTTGTGTGTTGACCCTCCTCAGCTCGAATCACAAGGGGCAAAGCACAGGAAATGAGGTCCTGGGGCCAGCAGTAGGTTTCAGAGTTAACGGCACTGCACTGCAGGGAGCAATCCATCTCTTCCAAAGCTGATGCTTTGAGTGATTATACAGTCATCAGTTAAGTGGCTTTACTTGATGCCATTTTCTTGTTTACTTTGAGCAGCAGAAGGAACAGGAGAATAGAAGGAGCAGGAGAATCCATCTCCTGCAGCTCTATCGTTCTAAGCCCCTGGGGCACACTTTGCTCTTCCACTGCCTTGTACCTGCTCAGCTACTGGCAAGAGATGTGAGCGGCTCATTTAGCCTGCTTTGCTACATACCAGCTTGTTTTGGGGTTTGCATGCAGGTGGTCGAGCTGCCTGGAGGGGCAGGTTTGAGCATGCTAAGTCTGCCCTTCCTTAGGACCATCCGAATCCTCCACCTGCAGAGGGGAGAGGGTGATGAATCTGGGGGCTGGGTGTTGAGGCAGTGTTGCTGGAGAGGAGGTGGTTATGGCACAGATGTGAGATCTGAATACTTTTTAATGCCCTTTTTAAAAAAACATTAGTGCTCTTTTAAATACATTTTCCTCGGTTGCTTAACAAGAGGGTTTGTTACTTCTCTTGCTAGTACAGGAAACCAGTGTAAGCAGTGTAAGCATTCTGGAGGAGCAAACAAATGCTGGTCTGCAGCTGTAATTAGATTGAGCCCAGCTTTAAGCTGGAAACAGATACGGGGAAAAATCAACATGCATTTGCTTTGCAAATTGCTGGAGTGGTTTCAGATGTTACCATCTTCCCCCAACTGTCCCTGTGAAACTGCGTATGCGAGGATTTAACCCTTCTTCTCCCCCAGAGCCAAACCAGCTGAGGTTTGCCCAGACCCATCCTGAGCCTGGAGAGGATGTCATGACCCTTGGTAGCAGAAAGCACAAGGCTTCTGGCTGCATGGGGACCACCGCATCCATGGTTTCTGTAATAACCAGCCTATGCTGTTGTGAAGGTGTGGGTGATATTTCTCGATGGGGACACATGTGCCAGTGTGGTTCCTTAGGTGCTCACTGGTGCTCAGCATCCCTCAGGCATCTGTCTCCAGCATCCCTTAGCTGTGGTTTGCTTTTATTGAAGTGAGTTCCACTCCTGAAACACTGACCTCTTGGTACTCACCCATCCTGGAGCCACTGTCCCGAGTCTGCTTCTGCCAGAGCTCAGTATTTGGCTGTGGGAAAACGAGAGGGTACTCAGGAAATTATTGCCCAAGGTGTAGTCTGCGATCTGTTTGCTAAATTTCTGTGTTTTAAAAGGTGGATACCTGCTCTGTAATATAAACCACCTTTCTGTTGCCACTTGAGGTCCAAGGTTAGATTTGTCCAGGGATGGAAGTTGCTGCTGAGGCTGTTTCAGTCCAGGGGCTCTGGCAGAGGATGGGGGAGCCCTGGGGAGTGGGATGCTGGTTCTGTTGGTCTGATACTGCCCTCTGATAATTGCACTTAAGCCTTTCCTTGTGGGTTTTCCTTACTGTAACTTGCTTTCCACTTAAATATAGGAGCTAACCCTGCTCTTGTCATTTTTTCTGACTAAGCTAGAAAACTGTCACTGTTGCAGTTCCTCTTCCCCACTTCTTCAAAATAATTTGCAGAAAATCTTAGCTTTTAGCTCAATAAATGATGCAGAAGGAGGAGGTTTCTGAACTGGCATGGGAAAGCAAAAGAGTGGTGAAAAGATCAAGGACATCCTAAGGCAAGCAGTGGTCCTGTAGTGCTGTCAACTGGCTCTTTGCCTGGCTTTGCCCCAGCCCATCTCCCCCTGAGGCTGATGTCTAGGTTTCATCCCAAAATGTTCTAGCTGGCCCATATCCATCCATCTATGCTGAATGATGGTGCTTCTCCAGGCTCAGGGAGGCAACTGCACGGATCACTGTGGTGGATTAGTTACCTTGATTAAAGGCATCTGTGCTTCTCAGCCCCTGGGATGCTTTAAACTGCTTATGGTTGTGCCTGAACATCTTGAGGAAAATAAGGCTGTGTTGGCTAGCTCAGGTGGCAAGCCTTGTTGAATAGGGGTATGGTGCTTTGTTCTTAATGGGATTACTTTTCTGTCAAGCCTGGTGGCCTAATTTCGCTGGCTCTTGCTAGAAGGGGGTGGTAGGATTTTTTGGGTGGCTTCTTAAGGGACTTCCCTCCGTGGTTGCCTGCTATCTACCTCCTGCCTTGACTCTTTTCTTTGGTTTTCACTCACGGTCCTTCAGGCTCTGCTGAAAATGGACTGCCAGGGGCTGGTTGTCCGGCTCATCCAAGACTTTGTGCTGCTGACCACAGCCGTGGAGGTGGCCCAGCGCTGGAGGGAGCTTGCTGAGAAGCTTGCCAAAGTCTCCAAGCAGCAGATGGATGCCTATGAGGCTCCACACCGGGACAAGACAGGAACAGTGGACAGTGAGGTGAGATGGATGGGTCTTGGCGTCCATGGGTCTCTAGGATTGCAGATACCTCCAGAGTGTGTTCTTGTGGAACACCTTTGGGGGATAAAAGGGTATGCTGGGGAAATTTTGGGGGTGTGTTGGGGACGGCATCGCTTGCTCACCAACTGTCCAGCCTGGCTCAGCTCTGATCTCCTCTGCCCTCTGCTCCATCACCACAGGCCATGTGGAAGCCAGCGTATGACTTCCTTCTCACCTGGAGCAGCCAGATGGGTGACAGCTACCGTGACGTGATCCAGGAGCTGCACACGGGGCTGGACAAGATGAAGAACCCCATTACCAAGCGCTGGAAGCATCTCACTGGCACCCTGATCCTCGTGAACTCCTTGGACATGCTGCGGGCAGCTGCCTTCAGCCCACAAGACCATGAGGATTTTGCCATCTAGCTCCTGCGGTGACATTTTTGTGCACATCTCGTTTGCTGTTTTTTCCTCTGTGCTTTTTCCCCCCTATTTTTTAAGGAGTTGACTTGAAAAAGAAACGGAGGTTGCTCTCGCCAGGTTTTAAGAGGCCAAAGTTTGCAAGTTCTCCACCGGGACTGGAAATCAGGAGGAGACATCCCTCCTTGATGGGAAGTCATCCAGAGGAGGATAGTTTTTCATACGGTGTTGATACCAGTTAAAACTATTTCTTACTCAAAATCTTTAAAGGGGACAAGGAGGGATGGGGAGGGATCACAAAAGAGATCACATTTTTTAGGCATTTGCAAATAAAAGTCTAATTTTTGTAATGAGCAGTAAAGGTTGTAACCACTTTGTGGGGCGAAACTGTGGCTGTTTTTTATGTTGTAGAAACTGCTTTTAAATTATCGTTTTTGACATGAACATGAGTCATGTAAATATGTATTTTAAGAGGAAGCACAGCAAATGCCCTCCCCCACCACCATAGTCAGGGTTTGGCAGACTCCAGGACGTGACTGTAAAGTACTGTATGAACTCGGGATGTCCTCAGCCCAACAAGCATCTTACACCAAAAAAGAGCTTTTGTTTTTATTTATTCACTGGTCCTGTGACCCTTTTGGTTGTTTTCTGTTTTGTTTTCATGCCTCCTCAAACATTTGTTTTGTCACTTGCAGATAGGGAGATGCTCATTGCCTGTTTCCAGATGCACAGGTACTGCTTTAAACCAGGAGAAGTGGCTGCTGCCCCTTGTTTTTTGTCCCACCCGGGGGCTGCAGGACATGTCTGGAAGAAGCTGGAGGTTTGGGGTTCGGTGAAGATCTCCTTAGGAGATGGACCAGGAGGATGGTGAGAGTGGCTTGTGCTGCCACAGTGGCAAACTCTCCAGATGCTCCTGCTCTGGGGAAGGGCCAGAAAGGTAGAGGGAATTGCTACCATTCATATATCCCTTCAAACACAAAACTAAAGAAAAAAAAAGAAAATATTTCTCCTGATTTGAAATCTGAGCTCACTGGAGGTGTTCCAGATGCACCATATGACTTAACACTCATTGCTGTTGAAGGCTCCTAAAGTCCATTTTAACTTATAAATAGTCTTTGCTGTAAACCTGGTGCTGAGCAAAAGATTTGTGGCACCAAATGCCCATATTTTATAGCCTGCTCTTTTGAATGCCCTCCCCTCCTCCTTCTGTTCCCCAGCTTTCAAATATTTTACATAGGAGGGAAATATTTTTGCGAAGAAAGATTATTTTGAGTGCAAAGTCTCTTTATAGTGAAACGCTGCTACCATGGAAAGGTTAGTTGTTAAAGGAAAATTTTCTTTCAGGTTAATAAAAAAAAAAAAATCAGTAAAAGAGAAACAAAGAATAGGAAGGGTGTCTAGTGGACTGTGCTGGCATGGCAGCCTCAGAAGGAAACCATCTCCTTTCCTCTTCCCAAAATCACCTTCCCATAAATGAACACTCTTGACAGACCCTGCAAGAAGTAAATAGCACCTTAAATTCTTCCTCAGGGGCTTTAAGGAGTTTCCTATGCAACTTCACATAGCACAGAGAGAGGGTCTGTCAGCAGCCAAGCCCACTACATGCCTCCTTTCTCCAAGGCACCATAAGAGCACATTTTTTCCATGCACAAGCAGAAATCTCCATTGCAGTAAGGAATATCTCCTGGCAGAGCGTGCTTGCTGGCAAAGGGACTGCTTTCTTCTGGGATTTTACCCAAATCTTGGCTTTTGCTGATCTCCTTGCAAGGACTAGAGCTCTGCAGAACGGCTGTGCTGGGGACCCCCCACAGTGTCAGCAGCAGGCAAGGGCAGGAGTTTGAGCCTCCTGTGGTTTGAGGATGTCCCTGAATGATTTCAGCTTTTTGGTTTTAATTCATTATTTTAATCCCCCCACCCTTGGTTTTTCTATCTACCTCAGGTACTCAGTATACCCAGCGTAACATTTCAGCAGTAGGCTAAACCATGCCACACTCAGCTCGTTGCCAGAGTGTGCCCTCCCTGAGACCCGTGGGAGCACAGCTGGCACATTTCTGGGCCTGTGGGGTAACTGCTGCATTTATTTGTCCTGTCCTCGATCTGAAATCCAGTCCATTCTTGTGTGCCGGGACTGGGCGTATATCCTTCGGATGCCTTCTGCCCATTGTATGTCAGGCCATTCTCCAAAACTTCTTTTTGGGCTTTGCATTACCACCCTTCGTGCAGTAACTGGTTGTTGTATTTACTGTTTAATGTTTCTTTTTTTTAAAGAAAAAAATTTTTGGAAAAAAATACTCCAATTAAAGCTGTTACTATTCCAGTGTTGCTGAGTAGATGTCATCTACTGTTGTCTCTTCATCTCAAAGCAGCTTTTGGTGGGATTCATTTAGTGGGTTTTCCACTACGTGAACAACATGTTTCTCACAGCACATTTCGACACCTGGAGCCAGCGATCCTCTGGGTCTGATCTCAGTCTGATTGTCCTTTCCTGTGCCTTTCCTTTGTGCCCTCTTTTTGGGGAAAAGTCGCTGTCAATGATCTGGCCTCTCAAGGTGCTGCTTATGCTCAAGCACTAGTTAAAAAACTTGGTAAAAATTTGGTTGTAGGATTTATTTTGGTGTGGAGATATTGGTTGTTTTCTGAATGGACAAATTGTATTTAGCCAAGTGGTGCTCCTGATGCAAATGGAGTTCGGATTTCAAGCCGCGGAAGTGAAGTACTCGGTTACCTGGCTGTGGCTTCGGTTTGCCAAGGGTGAAGAGGAGACACGATGGTTTGATTTCATCTTTGGCAGATGCATCTTGTAATCTAGTGTGACAAGGCACGCCTGGGCTACTGAGCTGGAACTGCTGCGTTTTAACGGGTCGTGAGAAGGATATGTCATGCACAAGGATGTGCTTGGACCTTGCTTGGCACCCGTTGCTCTACCTGTGCTTGGGTGGTTGTGACTGTGTCCTCTCCTGAAAGCCTTGGGCCCTCCTTGCAAGGAGAATGAGTTTGCAGGAGGATTCACACCAGGGGCTAATGAGTGCACAGAGCTGGGTACCAGTCCATGCTGATGCCAGGGCTCATGGGAAGAGGCTCTAAATTTCCTTCTTTGCATAATGTGACTTGATTTCCAAAGCAAAGCCAAGGTCTAGCCTCGGAGAAGATGAAGAGAATGGGTGAGGAAAAAAGTAAGTAACATTTCTTTGAAACTCGGGAACTAAGAAGGATACTAAGCATCCCTTTGCGCTGTCAGAGGGAATGAGCAAACAAGTTCTTCCCAGACTCTTTCAGGGATGATGCACCGGGAGCCACCTGTTGGCTCTCTTCCTTCTGTCTCCTGATCTTATTTCCCAAACAGATACTTTCCCATCTGTCTAACCTATTCTGATTTTTCAGCCCTGCCTTCAGGAGGGTGTTGGCCTCCAAAGCAGGATGATGAATGTGCTGCTGGCGTGCTTCTCCCTCCCAGGTTTGCTGCATCATCTCTGCCGTGGTTCAGAACCCAGACCTGTGACTGTCAGAGGATTCGGGCTGCAGTGCAGACATGACTCAGGCTCTTGGGTCTTCAGTCAGTTTGTGACTCCTGGAGAGAGCCAGGTGACAGGTGAGCACTGTGGTAGCCCAGTGGCTTGGCTGCAGCTATTGGAAAGCAGCTGTGTTGTGGCCAGCATTTGGGCTTTAAAATTCTGCATTTGGGACACCTGTACCTGGCATGCCTGGTGAGAATGCATTAAGGGATCACATGTAGGATGTGTCCCTGGAAGCGTTTAAGAGGTGTTACATTGGGGGACATAGTTTAGTAGGTTGATAGGGCTGGGACAAAGGCTGGACTTGATGATCTTCAAGGACTCTTCGAGCTGAAACTATTCTATGATGTCCTAGTGATCATCTGCTGTGGTGTTTCCTGAGTTACTTGTGTAAAAGGTTGGTTTCTGCCTGGGTTGTTAGGCCCCTCCTGCTTGCCCCAGCACTGCAGCTCAAGATGGGCACTAGCCATCTGATTTGGGCATTTCCCCGTTAGCTGCTTCACTGCTGACTGACTTCCTCTAATATTTTCACTTCAGAGAAAGGATTTAGTTTGGTTTTTTTTCCCCTCAGTTCAGTCAAGGGAATGAACTCTTTCAGCTCAGGTCACCCTGGAAATGCATTTGCATCATGTTCTCCTCTACTTCAGCCATCAGAATCAAATGATCGTCTTGCATGAGTTCAGCTCGACACTAAATGACTGAAGAAGGTATGTCAGAAGGGAAAGGGAAAGAAAAGTCACCTCTGGATTATCAGTGTCTGTAGAGAAAAGCTACTATATCTATGATTTTTGCTTTGTCCTCACCAGTTCTGAGTATCCAGATGCCCAGCACAGTTGGCAATGAAAACTAGTCTATGATTAAAGACCCCAGAGGTCTCTAGGCATCTGTTTTCATCCCTAGAAATCCCTGCAGAAAAGCAATTGCTTTGCTTCCTTCCTAGTTCTTAATTAAATGCTCGTTGTGGATTTTCTACTGTCAGGACAGCCCTATCTTGCAATATGAGGAGCTGGTCACGACTGCTTAAAGGAGCCGGTTAAAAGGGTTGCTCTTAGGGCTTCTCTCATCGGCAGGTTTCTTTTGCCACCCAAACTCCATGCTTCCCGGGGCTGTCCCCTGTGTCCACTCTCTGATGGCCGTATCTCTCATGCCAGGTGGAAGCACAATGGTTTGCTTTGTGGAGAAACTTGGTAGAAAAACACTTTGAGTGAGGATCATGTTGCATTGCTTGGACTTCTGCCCCAGGGCCATGGGGCAGCGGGGGGCCAAGATTCGGAGGTTCTGCAGGAGCCCATGTTGGTGCAGCGCCGTGCTCTCCTTTGGGATGCCTTTTGCATCCCAGTTTTCCTTGGGGCTGGGGGCTCTGTGATTCTTGGAAGCCCAGCCTTCGGTGTAGCGGCAAATTTTAGGTCCAAGTTCATGACCTCGGGGTCGTGGGTGTGAAATACAAAAGTTCTCCGGGAGCCAATGTAAAACTGCATCTGTTTGCTTTTTAGT